AGGCGGGTCCGCTCTCCTGTGACGGCACGGGCAGGGACGGGGCGCGCTCGGGGCTCGGTCACATTCCGGGGCTCCGGTCCCTCTCCGGTTCCCGTCCCTCCAGTCCCACTCACATCATGCTTTAGCAACAATAGCCCATCACATTCCCCAAAATAGGAATGCTTTACATTAGGCACAAGAACTGTGACAACCTGGCTAGCTGTGCCATGAAGCTGTGCTTCAGTATTTTCCAAAACTGAAACCACATATTCTTCTTCAGCCAGCTGAACCTTGGTTTCCTGCAGATCTTTCTGTGTTTCTTCCAGTTCTTTCTCCTTGATCTGCTAATCTGTTTTACACTGTTCAAGTTCATTTTTACTGACTCAGGTCTTAAACCTAAACTACAGGTTTGTATAGTCTTTGTAACAACTGCAAATACCAAGCCAACACCATTCTCACTGTAATAATTGTTTGCTTCTCCTCTCAAAACGTAAGAGCAAACGACCATTACAGCACAAGGAAAAGAATCCCATTGAACAAACATAACCAGATAGACTGAGAAGAGCCAGTAAAACTGATTACATAGACCAGCAAATTAATATCTACATTTCTCTTCAACAAGCAGCTCCAATTTTTGTGTCATTTGTTAAAAGGAAGCGCATCACCTCTCTCCCCATATTCTTTGTTCCTAAGCAGATAGATACCTGTCAGCTGAGATAATATCATTTTACAAGCAGATTCTGTGCTGAAAAATCAGCAAAAAAATTATAGTAAGAGACATGAAAACAGCTTTAAAAATAAGTACTGCAACATGCAATTTCACATACATTATTTCAAATTCCTGACTTCAAGGACTAGGAAGCTTCCATTCTTAATTAACTGGGGAACTTTAGCACCACCAACAACAAAAACAATCTTCTGACTGTTCTTTCTTCAAACTTTTTTCCTCCTTTTGACAGGAGGAATGAATTTCTTCCAGTTTTTGGCAGCCACAGTTAAAAAACATCACTTGCTCTTTTCACTTCTTCCTACATGACACTGATTTTTGTGAATATACTCTGTAATTTGTTCTTCCTGGACTGTTAGCTTTCCACTAAGGGCTCTCAAGCAAGGATTAAAATAAATGAACAAATTAGTCAAGTAAGAGGTAGTTTCAAGATTTACACTACATTTTCAGTAATTTTGGAAAATTCTATATGAATAGCAAGTGATTTTCACTTAAGGCAGAGAAGATTTTAGGCAATTTTCCATTGTAAACTTTCTGTGGAAACTAGCCCTATTAAAAGTGAAGTATATCAAGTTTAGTTTCCTGTATTAGCTTCCACTGAAAAAAAAAAGGCTGCATGTGTAAATCTCCATGCTGGCTAATGCTTATGGTAAGTTCCAGAGATACAAAAATTTCTCAGTGCAAGCCTATTAGATTTTATCTGTATAATCATTAATTTTGAAAGAACAAGTTGAGCAAACAGTTAAGTTTTCCTAACTATCTTGAACTTTCTGGATTAAAAATATATCTGAAAGTATTTCTGTATAAGTATAGGTATCAGTATCTGAGATTTGTTGCTAATTATTTTATAGAAATTTTACAGACATACTCAGAGGTTTCAACAGAAGGATAGACTCCACTTTTCTCTCGAGCAGCAGCAAGGTCTCACTTCAGACCCTGAATCTCTTCAATGTATTCCTGTATAAAGAAAACCACAGGTAAACATCAACATTTCTGTTTTGGTTTTGATATTCAGCTTAACAGATACCTCACAAAGGTAGTTTTGCATTAGCACAAGAGCATAGCACTTCATCTCTGTTCTAAGTTCAGTATAGCACCATTTCAATTCACATCATTGGCTGTATGTAGAGCATCGAAACTTTCCATTTGAAGGTCATACTTGGCTGCATTTAGCAGCTTCCAATAACCTTCCTTAACCCCATTTTTGGTGTCCCTAACCCCATTTCATTGTCCCTAACCCCACTTTTGGTGTCCTTAACCCCATTTTTGTTGTCCCTAACCCCATTTTGTTATCCCTAACCCCGTTTTTGGTTTCTCTAACCCCACTTTTGTTTTCCCTAACCCCATTTTCGGTGTACCTAACTCCATCTTCAGTGTCTCTGACCCCATTTTCATTGCCCTTGATGCCATTTTTAGGGTGTCTGACCCCATTTTTAGGGTCTCTGATCCCATTTTCAGTGTCCCTAACCCCCTTTTGGTGTCCCTAGCCCCATTTTCAGTGCCCCTAACCCCATTTTCGTTGTCCCTGATGCCATTTTTAGGGTGTCTGACCCCATTTTTGGTGTCCCTGACGCCATTTTCTGTCCCTGATTCCATCTTTAGTATCCCTAACTCCACTTTTGTTCTCCCTAACCCCATTTTTGGTGTCCCTAACCTTGTTTTCATTGTCCCTGACCCCATTTTTGGTGTTCCTAACACCATTTTTGGTGTCCCTAAGCCCATTTTCGGGGTCCCTGTCCCATTTCTGCCCTCCAGGAGGACATGCAGGGCTGGCTGCGGGCACTGGCACCAGCGCTCAGGAGCACACCGAGCTGGCCCGGTGGCAGCAGGGCCTCCTCACCACCTCCTCCCCCGGCGTGACCCCGATGGAAATGAACCCCCCAAAACCATGAGCCCTGGATGTGGGGTCCCGAGCCCCGATTTTGGGGTCCAGGCCTACTCTAATGTGGGGGTCCCAGCACCCCCTGAACCTTGGTTTTGTGTCCTGGCCACGCCCAAAACCTTAAATTTGGGGTCCTGGTCTCCCCAAAATCCGAGTTTGGAGTCCTGGCCACGCCCAAAACCTCAATTTTGGGGTCCTGCCTCCCCCAAAACCCACATTTTGGAGTTCCGGCCCCCCTTTCTCCCAGCACAAGCCATAGAAAGCCGGGGGGGCCCCAGCAGTGCCGTTGTACAAATGTAATAAAGCACCCGCTGCACCCCAAAACTGGCCTGAGGGATTTGGGGGAGTCCTGGGGGAGGTCTTGAGTAGACCAGGAGGGGTTTGGGGCTTCCTGGGGGGGAGTTGGGATGTCCTGGGGGGATTTTGGGGAGTCCTAGGGGGGCTTGGGGACATCCTAGGTGGGTTTTGAGATGTCTTCGGGGGATTTGGGCAGTCCTGGGGGAGTTTGGAGCATCCTGCGGGGGAGCTAGGATGTCCTGGAGGGAATTTGGGGGAGTCCTGGGGGGCCTTGGGGGCATCCTATGGGGAGGCTGGGATGTCCTGGGGGGAATTTGGGGGAGTCCTTCGGGGTTTGGGGGAGTCCTGGGGGTTTTCGGGGTTCCATCCCTTTTCTTGAGGAGGGATTGAAGAGGAGGAGGGAGGGAAGAGAAGGAGGTGGGGAAAGAGAGGAGGAGGGAGGGAAAGGAAGGGATGGAAGAGGAGGAGGTGTGGTTGGGTAGGAGGAGGAGGACGAGGGGGGATGGAAGAGGAGGAGCGGGAGGAAGAGGAGAAGGAGGAACAAAGGCGGATCAAGGCTGACTTGAGGGAACCACGCTTGCGAGCCCTGCCTGTGGGATCATCGCCCCCACGTCGCGCAGGTGAGTGGGGAGGGAGCTCGGCTCAGATATCCCGGGGGGCTCTGGGTTGGTTTTTTTTGGGGGGGTGGGGGAAAGATGTTTGGAGAATGAAGAAGTCCAGAGTTGAGCGGAAAAGGCCCCTTGGGGGGACATCGGGGGGTGCCGGGGAGCGCCGCCATTGGCGGGAGCCTCCAGAGCCTGGAGAGGGGCAGGGGGGACTCCTTGGAGCCCCTGCAGCCCAAAGCAGAGAATGAGGGGAGGAGGGAGCCCGGGAGCCCAGAAAGCCCCGGCATCCCGAAATGGGGAGCGCGTCCCCGGGGACGCCCTGGGGGGGATCTCCTTGCCCTTGCCTGTGGCACGGAGGCAAATCCCATCCTGTCCTTGTCCTTCCTCCCCCAGGGCAGGAGCTGAGCATGGAGAGCAGGGAGGACAAATGCCCGCAGCAGAACATGGTGGAAGAGGCCGTTTCGAGCGGCTCCACGGCGCAGGAAGCCAACGGGGAAGAAAAGCCCCGGAGATCCCACACGAGGAGGGGCTGCAAACGCAGATCGCGAAGATCTGAGGGAGAAAGAGCCAGCCCGGGCTGGGAAGGCGGCCAGAGATCGAGCCAGAGCTCGGAGCTGGTGCTCCATGAGCAGCTCCACAATGGGGAGAAGCCCCACACGTGCGTGGAGTGTGGGAAGAGCTTCAGGTGGAACTCCAAGCTCATCGAGCATAAGATGATCCACACTGAAGAACGGCCCTACGAGTGTGGGGAGTGTGGGAAGAGCTTCAGCTTCAGTTCCAGCCTGATCAAGCACCGGAAAATCCACACCGGGGAAAGGCCCCATGAGTGTGGGGAGTGTGGGAAGACCTTCAGGACGAGCACCCACCTGATCAGCCACCGGATGACCCACACTGGTGAGAGACCCTACAAGTGTGGAGAGTGTGGACAGAGCTTCAGCCGCAAGTCCAACCTGATGCGGCACCAGGTGATCCACACGGGGGAGAAGCCCTACCAGTGTGGGGAGTGTGGGAAGAGCTTCAGGTGGAGCTCTGACCTAGTCAAGCACCAGGTGATCCACACTGGGGAGAGGCCCCACGAGTGTGGGGAATGTGGGAAGAGCTTCAGCTGCAGCTCCCACCTGACCAGCCACCAGAGGACCCACACTGGGGAAAGGCCCTATGAGTGTGGGGAATGTAGGAAGAGATTCAGCTGCAACTCCAGCCTGGTAAAGCACCAGAGGACCCACACTGGGGAACAGCCCTATGACTGTGGGGAGTGTGGGAAGAGCTTCAGCCAGAGCTCTGACCTGATCAAGCACCAGAGGATCCACACTGGGGAACGGCCCTACAAATGTGGGGAATGTGGGAAGAGCTTCAGGTCGAGCTCTGACTTGATCAAGCATCAGAGAATCCACACTGGGGAACGGCCCTATGAGTGTGAGGAGTGTGGGAAGAGCTTCAGGGACCATGACACCTTGATCAGACACCGAAAGATCCACACTAAGGAGAGGCCTTACAAGTGTTTTGAGTGTGGGAATAGCTTTCGGTTCAACTCTCATCTCGTCCTGCACAATCTGAGTCACACAGAGGAGAAGCCCTTCTTCTGCCCCGACTGTGGGAAGGGATTCAAGTACAACTCCCAACTCATCGTCCACCAGCGAATCCACACTGGAGAGAGGCCCTACAAGTGTGGGGAATGTGGGAAGAGCTTCTCACAGAGCTCTCACTTGACCCGACACCAATGCAGCCACCGGTAAGGGAAGCCCTGCAAGTGCCCCGAGTGCGGGAAGAGCTTCGTGCGCTGCTCCAGCTCCATCCCCCACTGGAGGAACCACATTCCCTGTGATCCATGTTGGAAACACACCTGGCTGCTTCTCCTTTTGGTTTGGCCCTAATTTTTTTATTTTCTCCCTCTCTCTGCACTCCAAAAGCCTAGATGGATGGATCTGTCACCTCAAAACCACTCAAACACCAGTGAAAACAGCTCTGTCTTAAAGGAAAAGAGTTCAGCTCCACATCAAAGTGGCTTTTTCCCCACTCAAAAAAACTCTAGCTTGTGACAAACTCACTCGATTCCACAGCCAATGGAGTGAGATGGGGTTGGGAGGAGATTGGGAGAAGTGGGATCCCAATTTCGACCCGTGGGATGGGGATTGTGTGGGGCTGGGTGTGTGAGATGTATTTGATAGCAAATAAAACTCTCAGACTTAGTGATTTCTTTCCTGTTCATGTTCAGTCCGTTGCTGTTCTGTTTGCAGAGTGCCGCCTCCCAGTGTCCCCTCACGGTTCCGCCCTTTCCCTGCCCCCTTCCCCTCGCCGTTCCAGCCGGTTAGGGGGGAAGAGCAGGGGGAGAAGGAAGAGGAGGGATGAAGGCGGAGAGAGAGCAGCGATAGAGGGAGGAGGAGGCGGAGATGGGATGAAAGGGGAGGGATGGAAGAGGAGAAGGAGGTGGAGATAACACAGAGGAGCGGAAAGGGCGATGGAAGGGGAGGAGCGGGAGGAAGAGGAAAAGGAGGAACAAAGGCGGATCAAGGCTGAGCTCAAGCGGCGGCGCGGTCGAAGCCCCCATCTGTGGGATCATCCTCATCGTTCCCCCATCGCGCAGGTGAGTGGGGAGGGGGAGCGATGATCCCACAGATCGGCTTAAATATCCCGGGGGGTCCCTGGGTTGGTTTTTTTGGGGGGGATGTTTGGAGAATGAAGAAGTCCGAGGCTGAGCGGAAAAGACCCTTTGGGGGGACATCGGGGGGTGCCGGTGCCGTCCTGCCGGGGACGCCCTGAGGCGATCTCCTTGCCCTTGCCTGTGGCACGGAGGCAAATCCCATCCTGTCCTTGTCTTTCCTCCCCCAGAGCAGGAGCTGAACATGGAGAGCAGGGAGGACAAATGCCCGCGGCAGGACCAGGTGGAAGAGGCCGTTTCGAGCGGCTTCACGGCGCAGGAAGCCAACGGGGAGGAAAAGCCCCGGAGATCCCACACGAGGAGGGGCTGCAAACGCAGATCGCGGGGATCTGAGGGAGAAAGAGCCAGCCCGGGCCGGGAAGGCGGCCAGAGATCGAGCCAGAGCTCGGAGCTGGTGCTCCATGAGCAGCTCCATGATAGGGAGAAGCCCCACACATGCGTGGAGTGTGGGAAGAGCTTCAGGTGGAACTGCGACCTGATCAAGCACCAGAGGACCCACACTGGGGAACGGCCCTACGTGTGTTGGCAGTGTGGGAAAAGCTTCGGCCGGAACTGCCACCTGATCCAGCATCAGGTGATCCACACGGGAGAGAAGCCCTATGAGTGTGGGGAATGTGGGAGGAGCTTCATGTGGAGCTCCGACCTGATCAAGCATCAGATGATCCACACTGGGGAGAAGCCCTACCAGTGTGGGGAGTGTGGGAAGAGCTTCAGGTTGAGCACCCATCTGATCAGGCACCAGGTGACCCACACTGGGGAGAAGCCCTATGAGTGTGGGGAATGTGGGAAGCGCTTTGGACAAAGAGAGAGCCTGATCCTGCACCAGAGGACCCACACTGGGGAGAAGCCCTATGAGTGTGGGCAGTGTGGGAAGAGCTTCACCCAGCGCTCCAGCCTGGTCCAGCACCAACTGACCCACACTGGGGAACGGCCACATGAGTGTGGGCAGTGTGGGAAGAGGTTTCCGACCACCTCCAGTCTCGTCTTGCACCAGCGGATTCACACAGACGAGAAGCCCTTCCTCTGCCCCGACTGCGGGAAGGGATTCAGGCAGAACTCCAACCTCATCCAACACCGGCGCATCCACACTGGAGAGAGGCCCTACGAGTGTGGGGAATGTGGGAAGAGATTCAGACTGAACTCCCACCTGATCAGCCACCAGGTGACCCACACTGGGGAGAGGCCCTTCCAGTGTGTTGAGTGTGGGAAGAGCTTCAGCTGGAGCTCTGACTTGATCAAGCACCGGAGGACCCACGATGCTGACAGGCCCTATGACTGTGGGGAGTGCGGCAAGAGCTTCAGCCACCATTGCAATCTGATCAGGCACCAGAGGAGCCACACTGGGGAGAAGCCCTACGAATGTTCTGAGTGTGGGAAGGCCTTTACGAGCAGCTCCAAACTCCTCCGACACTACTGGGTTCACACAGAGGAGAGGCCCTTCCAATGCCCTGAGTGTGGGAAGGAATTCAAGCAGAACTCCCAACTCATCACCCATCGGCGCATCCACACAGGGGAGAGGCCCTATGAGTGTTTCCAGTGTGGAAAGAGGTTCTCCAGCAGCTCTAACTTGGGCAAACACCAACGGAGGCACCGGTAAGGGAAGCCCTGTGAGTGCCCTGAGTGCGGGAAGAGCTTCATGTGCTGCTCCAGCTCCATCCCCCACTGCAGGAGGCACTTTGGTCACAGCCCTGGTCACTCACATGCACTGTGGTCCATGTTGGGAACACATCTGGTTGCTTCTTCTTTTAGTTTCACCTTAATTTCTTTTCGTTCTCCATCTCTTTGCACTCCAAAACCCAATATGGATACATCTGTCACCTCAAAACCACTCAAATCCCAGTAAAAACAGCTCAATCCCACCTCAAAAAAACTCAATGTCATACCAAACTAATTCGATTCCACAGCCACCAGAGTAAGATGGGGTTGGGGGGAGACTGGGAGAAGTTTGGAGCAGTGGGATGGGGATTGTGTGTATCTGGGTGTGTGGGATGTGTTTGATAGCAAATAAAACTCAGACCTATGCTTTCTCTCCTGTTCATGTTCTGTCTGTTTCTGTTCTGTTTGCAGAGTGCCGCCTCCCAGTGTCCCCTCACAGTGTCCTGCCTTTCATGCCACCAGCACCCTGCCCACACCTGTTCTGCCCCCTCCCAGTGGGGCTCAGCCTTCAGCTCTGCTGGGTGTGCCAATTCATCTCCCTCCTGCAACCCCAGGACATGCTGTCTCTGTTCAAGAGCATCACTGGAGTTTATAGAGTGCCTGTGACCTCTTTTGTGCTTTTGAATCTATTGTCAGAGTGACATCAGCTGGGAAATGCTCGTAGTGGAGCAGGACTTCTTTTAAGAAGTTACTTTTCACCCTACAGCACATAGAAAATCACCTCAGTTCTTCTGAAATCAAAAAATCCTAAAAAAATTCTAATTTTCCATAATCTGAAAGCGAGCAATGACATCCCTCTTCAAGAGCATTACCAAGATTAATATCCAATGGAGTTGTATTTTAATTATTTCTTGTCACTGTAAATTCTTCACAGATGAAATGAGAAAGAGTGAGGCACAGCAGCGCAGCTGAGGGATGGAGCTCAGCACAGTGGAGTTTCCTCTTTTAGTCACACAGGAATGAAGCTTCAGCATCAGCTCCTATGGGGGCTGGAGGGGACAGTGGTCATACTGAAGGGCTGGCTGCTGAGAATGTTTCTTTCCTGGTCCTTCTGGTGATAGTAATTGTATTTTAATTTACTATTAGGACTACAGGCTCCTCATTAAAAGGCAGAGCAGTTGCAACACAACACTACACCAATATGTTTATAATAATTGTTGTCACAGGCTGCCCACATGCATTACTATGCAAGAACCTAATGGATTTCATATGATCAAGGCATAAAGGACAATTGTATTTCTTTCTGAAAGCTATCCAGAATTGCTGCAGATGAGTGGGAAAGATATCAGGATTTCTTCTTTGACAAGAAAGAATGCATATTGTATTTCTGAATGTGTGATAGGTGTGGGTGGAGAAATCCTTCTCAAAGAGGAAGATGGGTAAAGAAATTCTCAGAGCCTCAGATCAGCATTGAAAAAAGGTTTCTTTTCCTTGGAGCATGAGACTATTCAATATTTTTAGCCAAAAATCTCTATGGGTACAGCTGAGGTCATCTTTTGGGAAAAAGGCTGTATGAGATCTTGGCAATATCTATGTTTGCTTCTCTTACACCTATTATTGGTTTGCTGAACCACTACAAGCAGAGTTTCAATTAGACCCCTGCAATATCAGACTATTTGTTTTTCCCTCTTCAGAATTTTTTAACCTTCATTTCAAGTTATGAATGGGTAAGATGTCAATACTCTAAAATTGCAAGATGGTAAAATTTCAGTTTGGTGTGTGATTAGATTCTGTGGGCTCCAATCATGAAATAATGAAGCAAAATGTAATGGAGCAATAATGTATCTAATGCACAGGGTTCCATCTTACAACCCTCAAAACCAGTCAATCATTAATTCCCGTCCTTTAATTAATTTCTTGTTTAGCATCATTCATATTAAGAATTACTTTTCCAAAGGAAAAAAATTAAACATTTTCAACCCAAATATATTTTAACACCCTTAACAGCCCAATATTAAACTGACAACCTTTAAGAATATGTATGACCTTGAAGAACAAGACACCCTAGTCCAGTCAGTAAAAATATTCCCCACAAACCTGTGTTAATGGACCACATAACAGTTTCTTGATCAGACAGCAGAGTCCCACCTCAGCTTATCTTGATTATGAAAGACATTGCAAGCAGTTAGTTGTAATTCCCTACGTTGTTTCAGTAACAATTTCTGTATGGTAGGAATCCCAAAAGAAACTCACACTGGATAACTATACTAGTAGCTATAAACCCAAGTAATAGGTCCTCCATTCCTCCATTATATGATACCAGAGCACTTGTAAGTGAACTTTAAAATCCTAAATGAATTTTGGTTGAAAAAGACTTCTAAGATCATCAGGTTCAACAAGTTACTGAAATGTCTGAAAACCAGTATTTGCCGTCAATTACGTGTTGTTCCTGCTAAGCTAAACATAAAGATGTTAAAATCAAGTGATGTGGTAGGTATAAAGATGACAAATTATTTCAGTTTTGAATTTGGCAGTCCAGATGGAGGAGTTCCGAAGTATAATGAGAATATTATTACATTGTGTCTCAGTAGAAATAAAGAGCAGCACAATCACAATTTTGTCTTGTTTTTAACATGGACAGTACTAGCAGTTTTGTTAGCAGAGCCACATGAAGTTAATGGGGCCATCTGAAGGAATGAAAAACTCCAAAATTTACAGGTCAGCGTGAACCTTTCTGATTTAAACACTGATAAAAGCATAAATGGAATAATTTCACAGGGATCCATTCTGTCCTACTACTGAGTTTTCATCATTTGTTTAATCTAAGCATCATTCTGAGATTTACAATTAAGAGTTAAAGAAAGCTGCTACAGAAATAAAGGACACTGAGTTATAGTTTAAAAGTAGAAACACATAGCCAAATATTGAGTCCAAGAAGATAGATCTTCAGAATATAAGCTGAGTTTGCCTTCTTTCTACACTGAGCTTCTGACTTTAAGAGAAAAGAGAATAAAGGGCAAGTATGCATCTCAGAACTGCTTATCCCTGAAAGATATTACAAATGTCTGAAAAATTAAGAAGGCAAATTAGCTGTATAACATTTTTATTTTACTATATTGACATTTTATCCACAAATACTTTATCAGAGTAAAAATAGAAAATAATTGTTTCATGGAAAATTACAAAAAAAAAGGCAAAACAAAGAAATTTGTAATAATTAGCAGAGTATAAGTGTCTTTATTTAAAGAGTAAAAAGTATGCAAAACCCCTTCTGTTTTACAAAAATTGGGAATATTCTATGTTTTCCTTCTGGCAGTAACAGAAAATCCTTTGACAATATATTCTACATCTTTTGTTTTACTGAAGACATCAAGTTAGTCACAGGTTCCTCCCTCAACTACAGACAGCGTGATAATAATTTGATACCACTTGAAAGGTTCTTTCTTTACTAATTAGAACATGGTGGAGAAGCAGATGGAGCCACAACAAAGAACCCCAAGGACCATTACTCCTACTGAAAGGCTGCAAAGCAACAACAGGATGTAACCACAAACAAAGGATGGCAGCAGAGGTTTTCCCCCATCGGACTTACCATGGAACAGGAAGAGGCAGGGGAATGAAGTATTGACAGTGCTTTTCAATTTTGCTGTGTGCTTACCCACAGTCCAGTTTGATATAGAAAGCTGGTAAATACCAAGCTTCTTTTCATTTTATCCTGTATTTGAACTAAAAATGCCTCTCAAGAACTCTGCTGTCTAGAACCAGTGACTTGTACTGACTTGTGTTTAGTCACAGAATGTTGTTACAAGCAGAGCTGCTGCCCTCAAGCATCCACTTCACATAATTCTTGGTTAAGCAGACCTGCACCTCCTGCACAAGATGCCTCCAACACCAATCAGTGACACCAACTCCAACAGCAAGAAAAGGGGTGATGTTGACCTTTCATGACAGATACATTTACATTTTTTGCTCAGGCTTACAATGTTTTTTACAAGCAAAATGACATCAGCATGCTCAGCAGATGGAGTGCTGTAAGAACTCAAGGATGAGAACAACAGTAAAAGTTACCGAAAGAATCCAGCAAAAAACCTTTGATTTTATAATCATGTCAATGATGAAAAAACACAAGTTAGAACTATATGCAAACCTTCTAGTCAAGCAAAAACTATCTGCAGATGAGCATCCACCTACAAAAAAACCTTGCCCTCAACACATCTTGAGGACACACACAAGTCTTTGTATTCTCTGCCTTCTGCCTGCAAGTGTAACCATTCCTGCTCAGCTCAAGAGCAGCAGCCCAGTGCTCTCACTGCTCAGCACAAACACACTTTGTTCAGATTTGTGGGGTTTTGTTCAGAATCTCACTGTTCAAGGACTTCAGATTTAAGGTTTAAGAGTAGCTCAATCCATAGCAGAATTAAAGGTCTTCCCTTGTAATTGTTAAGTGTTACAAGAGAGGGTTTAATTTCTAAAACGTTGGTGAACATCAATGCTGACATAGTAACTGTGCTGTTTATTAGCAGAAGAGCCAAAAGCAACCCCCAAATCACACCGTTCTCAGACATCAAAAGAAACAGTCTAACCAGTATGGAAACTCAAAAGCTGAAGCCTACTTTTTTTCTGCATGTGTAAGTTTGCAAGAAGCACTGAGTAGCTCAGAATTCAGGATACATCCCAACTATTGCTGACTCATCATCCAGACTTCAAATTGCACCCAGCTCTGGAGCATGCATTTGGCTTAAGAAGCTTCAAAATATCACTTGGAAGTTCAAAGAGAACTTAATTTTAAATAAAAAGTACCTCTTTGTAGTTAATATATGTTAGACTGTACAATGATTGGGAAATTAAACCACAGTTCTCTGTAAAACTATTTTCAATTTGCTTTCTGTTCCTAGCCAGGGACTACTGACTGTGATTCACTTAAGTCTTTGGATACTAAAGGTTGACTACCATGCAGGTATAAGCACCTTGCAGAACACAGCATTAATATTCCCCACCAAAACAATCTACTCTTTGGGTGAGGGCTGTTTTTTCAAGTTTTTGAATTACCTGATGGGGAATGGCATGAGGGGAAGAAGTCCACCTTTGCTTTCTGCCAAATGGCTAATGTCAAGTATGTATTTCAAAACAGGTATTTGCCCTCCTGTATGTATATATGAAATACTCATAATTGGCTTTTCACCTAAGCCATATCTAAACCTGGATCTTCTTCAGCACTGATCTCCAGTTAAGTCTTAAGTGTCCTTTGCTTTTAAATACAGAAGCTATTTTGAGAACTTGATGCTTTGTAACATTTAACATGTCTTTCAGCTCCACTTGATTAACAGAATAATGAGTATATGGTAAACTTGGAAAGCATCAAATGCCATTTGGTAGTTCAGCAGAGAACAAAAGACTGGAAAAGGCTGCGTTCACACAACTGATCAGCCTGGGGTCTACAGGGACTTAATTTTTGTTAAAAGTGTTGCAGAAATTACTTTGCACAGCTGTGGTCACAGGCTCCACCTCTCACTAGCTGCAGAAGTTGGGGTGATCCCTTAAATTACATTAAAATATATGCTGTTAAAAGATCCAAATTTATGCATGTCTGAGTTCTTTATAGAAATTCATGCTCTATATTGTACAATCAAGAAACAAAAGACGTTTCCAATTCTGATCAAGGTAAGAGCACCAAGTGCTCTGGTTATAGAGGAAAGGCCTCAGGCTCCCACTTACAGGTCCCAGTGCTTAATTATCTTTCTCTGCTTGCAGGGATGCTGTGGCCAGGGCCACTGCTGTCACTGGCTGTGCAATGCCATGGAGCTGCATCTTGGCCAGTTTCTTCTGCTCGCACTCCGTGACCAAGCGGTTCAGCTCTGCCGCGCTGTACCCGATCAGAGTCTTCAGGTCACACACAAATTTGTACACAAACCTCTTGCCCTGCACCTTGCAGATCATGTCTCCATCGTAGTAATACCTGCAAAACAGAAAACAGAATTTTAGCAATTATCTGCAATTTTCATATGCATCCATTACTTACTTAAGGTCACCAGAGGCTAAAATATTATTCTTTTTCTCACTGAGATTCTCACAATTTCATATTCCAAGATATCGCTTAGGCATTTTCTTATATGAGAAAAGGGAAGTGTTGAAAATTGTCTCCGTACCGTGGTATATTAAAGAGAAATAAAGCACAGTAATTATTTTACAGCCTACTGGAAGCACCAGTTGAGGACTAAGTCTTGGAGCACTTTAAAAACAGCTTGGCAGGGAAGATGCCTTATAGGTAGTGTTTTGCCTTAATAATGAAATATTCTCTTTCCCCTTATTATGGTCCTTTGCTTTGCTTTTCTGAAGAAAAAAATTAATGCTGGAAACAGGTTGAAAATTACTAAGCAGTTTCTATGATATGAAAGCAGTTATTCTCCCCATACTGTCTTCAAAAATGGAAATAAAACTATAAAGGCATGGGTTGGATTTGTAGGGTTTCATTGGTTTAGTTTGTTTAGTTTGTTTTTTGTTGGGTTGGGGTTATTTTGTTAGAATTCATATGCTGTCAAAACTACATCTTTGCCTTTATTTACAACTAAAAAGTGAGTTCTCTAAGTTTAAATATCTTTTATATAGCATGACAAAAGAATTATCAGACTGGGCAAAAATATAGTGAGATAACAAGGTCTACATGACCTCCCCACCCCTTTGACAGTTTAGGTCACATCAATAAAACAGAAGTTAGAATTTTGCAGTTTTGTTGCTGTTCTACTCTCATTACAAGCTTTAAAAGAATGTGTATAACATTCCTCATTTAGGAAACTTAATGAGGATGGGCTGTAACTTGGATTTGATGAGCTTGAAAGCTTATGATAAATTTGGAAAATAATATAAACTCAACCCTTTCTACCCCTCAGCCCTAGTTTCTATATGCCTGCTTTTCCTACAGCTGGGCAGAAGAGCCAGTAAATTTCTCAATAAGAAATAACATAATTTCCTGTATTAATCAATGATTGACACAGTGATTTCAGTACATTGGTAAACAAAACATATAATCATTTATTAAACTTCAGCTTGACAACAGTGTTTATCACAGGAGTGGCAAGAGTTATTAAATATCCCTTCAGACATTAAGCTATTAGAAAACACGTCAATATTGATGCAGCTGCCAAAATGACACCACTTTGATGAATTCTGTGATTCTGTGACTAAAATATAAATGTGAAACTTTTCTAATAGCGATTTATGCAAACTGGTGTCTAATATCTTACTGATAAGAGCATTATTCCAAAGTTCTTCAGCTGCCTTTGGCATCCTCTGTGGAGCTTGCTGATGAAGCCCAAAAACATCAGCGTGGTTTACATAATTTTTGTGTATCAGAAGGTTTTCACATATGCCTTTAGTAGTGACTCACAGATACACAGGTTGGAAACATGGGAATGGTATTGGAACAATACAGGCTGGGGAAGAGCTGCACTGGAAAGGTCCAGAAACCTCCTCCAGCCCTCCAACCCAAGAGAGTCTGTGATTCTATTAAAAAAATAACATTTTCAATAATATATAAATAATGCAAGAACAGCCATACAAGACCAGACCAAAGATCCATCTAAAACATGAACAGACTCAAGAGACTGAAACAAGGAACAAGACTCCAAGAGACCTAAGGAAAAGCATGAGACTAAGTAAGCATCTACCAATGCTCCTGCAGTTTTAGTGACCTGAGGCTCAGGAACTTTCATAAATTGCATCTTTCAATACCTAATATTGTTCAAAATATTTGTTTTTCATTATTTTTTCCACTTGTTTGTCAGACATAAAATAATTCTGGCATCCTCAGCACTGTGCCTAAAGAAGTTCTAAGACAAACAAAAGGGTATAGTTTAGCTATGTATCTCATACCTGTCAAATGCCAATTAAACACTCCCTAAAAGGGTAAAGAAAGCCAGAATATGATACTTTGCCATCATTTCTTACAGAGCTATTTTCAAATAGAAGTTGATATTTTCATATAATGCTAGAGGAGTTTACTTCAAAAAAAAAAACCAATCAAGCAAACAGCACATATCCAGAACTGAAACTGCTAGTAAGTAAAACACAGACACTCAATCAAAATGCCACTTCACTCATACAAAAAGAATTCCTAAACCTACTTGAATAATTTGCAGGATTAGGCAAAAACATCTTTCTTGAAAACAAATCAAAATATATTTAACAATATCAGAATAAGAAAGCAGAAGTTCACTCTCAACAATTTCAAAGAATGTGGATGAATTTTCAAATGATTCCAGAGACTAAAACAATCAGGGAAAAGTAGTTTAAAATTCAGGTACTTGCACTCTTCCCCCTCTTCAAGTACCTCCCCCACAGTGAATCAGTAATACAAGTCCCTTTTATCAATGTCAAAGAAAAAATCTCTATGAAATGAAGATACTGAAACACTTCAATTTCTTCAGATCACTGTGATGTTGGAATTGCAACTCTTGGAACAGAGCTGTCAACTCTATTTTTCAATTTAAGATCCACACAATAAGAACAATGACATGAAACAATGAATATTTGAAGTTAGAAAAGGTTCTTACATATAGAGAATCACTAACAATTACAGAGAAGTATCTGCTTTATTCCATAACAAGAGCAAGAAGAACATGGACAATAGAACATAAAAATAAGTTAACAGTTCAAATATTTCTGTATCTTTCATCAGTAATCAATATTGTTTGGCATGCTACTAAAAGCATAAATATTGAAGATAAATAAAAAACAGGTATATTTCTGGAAGTGAGCAGCCCAAATTATGATCTTGAAAAAAGAAAATCTATTTTCAAGAAGTTATTCTACTAGCTTCTTTAAAAATGAAAAAAAAAAAAAAAACAAAACAAAGGCAAAAAGCCCAGCAAATACCTCTCCCCTAAGATCAACAGGATCTCATTGCAAGGACCAGCTTCAGAAGATTTGCCTTTACTAAAAAAGCTGCAAGTTTTGCATTATGTTAATTAAAAATGAGGTAGCCATGAAAGGAAATCATACCCCATGAGTTCCTTCAGTTTTTTACCTCAAAGCCCGACTCAGCTTCTCGTAGTTCATGGTGGGCTTGTTCTTGCGCTGTCCCCATTTCTGTGCAACCAGTTCAGGCTGGTTCAATTTAAACTCTCCTTCATCACCAACCCAAGAAATACAGTCCCTGGCATCTTTGTCTGTGAGAAGTTCTAATAAAAACTGCCACAGCTGGATCTGGCCGTTGTTCCCTGTTAAAGGAATAACAAGTTTCACTGCAAGTTGTCCTTTTCATGTTCCACTCATGGCTAAAAATTTGCAACCAAGACATTAAAGCAGACCAGCATAGACTATAGGATGGAAAGAAAACTTTCATTTAATTAATCCCTTCTAGTGACTCTTTTGCAAACATTTTCCTGTCATCAGTACCCATTTTTATTAAAAAATTAAGAATACAGGAAAAAATTAATCAAGATTTCACATAAATCTTCTCCTAGAACTTAAAAAAACCACAACTCCCCCCATGTAATCATTTAGAAGCATATCTGTCTTTAAAATAGAACAGATTTATCAAGACCTGCTAATTCCTCTTTACACACACATATATGTATAATAGCTTTTCTTAAAAAAAATTTGGTCTCAAATTTTCAACATGAAATATGAGAAACACAAAAGAAAACTCCAAATTTCAGTTAATGCCAATGATGCATCTTTTACATCCAATAGTTAAGATTTTTTTCTAACTCAAGTAGCCACAGTAAAATTCCT